ACACACACACACACACACACACACACACACACACACACACACACACAAATTATATATAAGAAGCATTTACCCATGTACATTATATATGATTATATATAATTATATATAAACTGTAAATTCAGATTATCCAATAAATGGCATTCGATAGGATTCGTTTCTCGTATTTAATAAATTTAACGAACAGTGGTATAAAAACGGTATTAAGAGACACGGCACTGTCTCACGTCAAGCAGTGCCAAGTTATAATATATGGAATAAATCATTTCACTTTTGATTATACAGCTTTTGAAAAAAAATATATATCTTAATTTATCAATGCTTTATTATCGAAGCAGTTCTTTTTTAACCGACTTCAAAAAAAGGAGGTTCTATATTCGGCCTTATATGTATGGCCGCGATTTTCTATGAAACTACTGGACGGATTTAAATGCGGTTTTTACTGTCCTATAGAGCAATCCTCCAGGAAGGTTTTAGTACATTATATTGATTTAATAAAGCACTAAAAAAGTATAAAATAAAAATTTTTTTAAAAATAGAACCGACTTTAAAAAAAGCTCTAAAAAGTATTTAAAAAATTTAAAAAAATTGAAAAAAGCTTTAAAAAGTATAAAATAATACTTTTAAGAATCTCTTTCAATTGTTTGAAATCGGCGCCAAATTAATAATTACTAAATTAATTAATTTAATTTATATATATATATTTATATATAATTAAATATAATCTTTTTTCCCAGGAAATGTCCGTAGTAGCTCTAACTTCCGCAAATTTCGAGATATCGGGCTATTTTTAATTCTATTACATTCTTCAGTTTTTTCTATCCTTATTTCATATAGTCATATACAATTCTTTAAGGACGTTTACCGGTTATAATCGTAGCCAAAAGTTTCACGCGCGTTCGGCTCTTTCCGTACAGCGCGACCACAGTATAAGTAAGAACATTAAGTTCACTCTGTGTCGGAGTCTTTGTTCTTCGTGGCAAACGTTTGTCATGATGTTGATTGTGCGAGCGTGTTTTATTTCAACCGCTTACTAGAAACCGCTTGATAATTGTATAAGTGAAAAAAAATATAAAAAATATATGTATTAATTAAAATATTCGAAGCAAAAATGTCACAACACATGCACATAAGTAAAAAATACATGCGCGTTTTATTTGAATAACAGAAACCGCTTGTAATAATTATATAAGAAATAAAAAAAAAATATAAGAAATATTATATTAATTAAATATTCGAAGCAAAAATGTCACGACACATTTTATTCATGTATATTTTATTTATTTTATTTATGTATTAATATATTTATGTATTAATTTTTTTATGTATTTATTTATTTATTATTTTATTACATAATATTCAAATATTAGCATATTATTATTATAAGACATAAATGCATTAATATATTAATGTATTAATTTTTTCAAATGTATTTATTTATTATGTATCATATTACATAATATACAAATAGCATATTTATTTATGTATTAATGTGTTAATGTATTTATGTATTTATGTGTATTTAACGTATTTATGTATTCATGTATTTGTCATAATGAATACGTACCTTTCTGAATCTTTCGGAAATCGGAATAAAGTTTCCTCCCACAATCTTTAAATACACATCGATAACCACTTTTATTACTCATTATGATTTTATTTAAAAAATTTTTTTAAATAAATACAAATACAATACAATTGACGCGCCGATGTATCTAACCAAATGAACTGTCAGATGACACCCATACAGCATGGAATATGCAAGAAATGTGCTATAAACAATTTATAAATATTTTAATATTCTACGGGTAATTCAGAATATTCTGTAGAAGTTCTATAAATATTCCATGAAATTTTGTCCATTCGGAATATGCATAGAATATTCTACAAATGTCTAATAAATATAGTACATTTAAAAAATGCATAGAATGTTCTATAAATATTTTGACAAATATAGAATATTTGGAATATTTACGGAACATTTTGTTAATATTCTTAAACATTTATAGCATGTGCTATGAATATTCTGAAAAACTTTTCTAGAATTGTTATGAATAGTTCAATAATAATCTGTGAACATTGCAATGAACATGAAATATTCAGAATATTAATAGAATATTTTTTACATATTAGTAGAATATTTTTAAAATAATCTATAAACATTTCAGGAAAAATATTGAAAAAATTCTAATTATTCTAGGAATATTTAAAGAATATTTTGGAACATTATATAAATATTCTGGAAAGCATTAATAAAAACTTTTTAGAAATCCGAGACCCTTGCGAGCTAACGAAGGGGAAGCGTAACGAGACCGCGAGAGAGTCCCCAGGTAGGAAACGCCGATACTCGAGAAACGGGCCAAGACTGGCACGAGTGTCGGCTTGCCGACGTTTAATGCCCAAGCCTGGCCCAACTATTACCCGAATTTGGGTAGCCGAGGCTTGGCAAGCAAATGCCGCCCAATATTGGGCCAAAGCTTAATAACCAATCCTTATTCTTTATCATTATTATTAGATTTACAATTTTCTTTTTAAAAAAATAATTAAAAATATATAATTTTATAAAAAAATTTCATAATGAGCCGGCACTGGTTTCTGACATTCATCCGACATTGAGAAATATTATATCATATATTTAATTCAAATTTTATTACTCTTTTTAAACTGAATTTGTTTCTTAAGATGATTTTTGAAAAATTATATATTTGCGCTGGTTATGACATATGTAGACTATATATAACGCTTACATCAAATTAAGAAGTAGTTTATCACGTAAGGCAGTTGGCTCACGATGCAGAAGTCCCGTGGTCCCTAGTTCGAATCCCACCAAGGTAAGTGTGTTTTTCAAATACGTGAAAATATTTATAATCATAGACTGCATCTAAAGAAACAAATTTAGTTAAAAAATAGTAATAAAATTTCGAAATAAATAATTTTTTTTATGTCGGGTGAATAGTAAATGTATACAGAATATGCGATATCCCATTTTTAATCCTAAAATCATCTATAAATGTTCTATAAATATATTTTGCATATATAAAAAAAATTATGGATTATGCGGAAAAATTTATAAAACATTTGTAGATTATTCGAGAATATTTACAGAAATTTCTAAGGACATTCAAAGCGGGACATTACACGTTCTTTGCACATTTATAGATCATTCATAGAAAATTCATGAATATTCTAAAGAATATTTATAGAACATTTATGGAATATTTCATGCTGTATGGGCAGCCGCCATGTTATTGATTGCGCAAATCGCCACATTTATTTACCAACATCTTAGGGGAGTGTACCTACTGTTCTTACTTATACTATGGCGCGACCTTCTCCCCACTCTACAATTTTTAGCGTAGACTGTACAGTGTTGCCACTTCTCCATGGCGACACGGCGACACGCTTCTAAATACCGTCAAAATAATACCATCAGTGAAGAACTTGTCGGATTACAATTACACATAAAGTGTATAATACCGTTACGTTTCCCCATTTTGTAATATGTCATTCCTAATATTATCATGCATTTTATATTAGTTTTTTAGCAAAATACATAACCAATTTCTGCCGCAATAAATTAAAATATCCCTCTAAAACACGCTTTGCCTATATCTTACGTGTTAAAATTGGTAACTTTGACATTGAATGTCTCGACTTTGATACCGGCATGGTTCTTAAGGTAGTTCTCCGCTCCTTGTACTAGAGAAAATCGATTTTCTATAGATTTTCTTTAAACTGTGAATATACGTTAATTTAGGTGTGCTTTATGCGTGGTATAACTTCAGTACCTCTTGCGGTATAAAAATCGAGATACTGCAATAAGCCTCCAAAGTTTCAATTTTTATCAAAATTTAGTAAAAATTGAAACTTTGAGGCTCAGTATCTTGATTTTTTTTATGCCGCAAGAGGTACTGAAGTTTATACCACGCATAAAGCACACCTAAATTAACGTATATTCACAGTTTCAAGAAAATCTATAGAAAATCGATTTTCTCTAGTACAAGGACCGGAGAACTACCTTAAAGCCTTGTGTACACGATACTAGAAATCGGACCGAGTTCTCGGTCCGAGAAAAAGTTACTAGAACTTGAATCGTATACACAGGCAACTCGGATGAATTTCTCGAATAGAAATCTCATATAGAAAAAATGCATTTTTTCGTACAAGTTATCGATTCAATATTCCATGTTGCCAACGTTATTACTTTATAAATAGCTAGTCAATGATGGTCAATGTAACGTTGGACAACGTAAATGTATATAACTTTCATAAATCTTTGATAAATAGAGAAAAGAGAATTATATATATATTATAATTATATATATATATATATATATTAATATATATTCCACGGGCCCAAGCTCATACTCAGCTCTCGACCCCACATTTTTCGATTATAACGCTATCTAGAATCATCAAAGTACAACTACTTCTATTCGAGAACTTGAATCGAGGACTTGGACAGATTTCTAGCATCGTGTACACAAGGCTTTAGAGTACTTTCGAAAATTGAAAGTAGCCCATCTTAGTTATTTTTTGTTCTCCTTTTATCGCGCTTTAGTTGGCGCTCAAGTCACGCCATATTGTACGTTAAGATATAGAGAGAGTCATAATAATAGATATAAAGGAAGTCATACGAATAAGCACAGAAATCAGAGCGTAAAAGCGTTTCGTGTATCCCAAACCTCGTAGATTTTAACAGGTTCTGGGCCCAGGCACCAAAGATTAACAGATTTAAAGAAGTTTGCGAGTCTGTAGACTACTCGAGCACCGAAGTGACGAGGTCGAGTCACATACATAACCAAAAAGGTGTGTTCTCGCGTACGTGTCGAAGAGCGAGAGAGAAGACGGCTCTAGTAGTACTCAGCGAACTGCAATCTGACATGGAAATTTGCCATGCAAACGTACCTCGAGCACGAAGACATGTGGGGGTGTATTAAAGGCACCGACAACGACGCTCGGAAAATGGCGAAGGCAAGATCCAAAATAATTTTTTGCGTGAACGCGATAAATTATTCGCATATTCAATCGGCAACTACAGTGAAAGAAGTGTGGGACAGATTGAAAGCAGCATTCGAGGATTCCGGTCTCACTAGAAAAGTAAGTTTACTTCGTACTCTAGTCACTGCACAGCTCGAAAAGTACAATTTCGTCGAGGAATACGTTAATGAAAAAGTGTGCAAGTAGAAACTTGCACATTGCTTTCTCATAGTTTTTAAATGTGCAAGTAGAAACTTGTACATTGCTTCCTCATAGTTTTTAAGTGTGCAAGTGGAAACTTGTACATTGCTTTCTCATAGTTTTTAAGCGTGCAAGTGGAAACTTGTACATTGCTTTCTGTTCGCGAAATCGCTGATTAATCCCGGCGATGGAAGCGGGATGAGAAGGACGCGCGTGGAAAGGTGTTAACTGAATATGCACTTTATTTTTTGTGTAACTCAGACCACAGTCTGAGCCGTCTTTAATGTATCGAGATTGTTACAGTCTGACCTGAGAATCGATGAGCGGTGTACAAATGAGACGTCTTTCTTTGATCGTTGAAGTCGAGCGACAATTATATGAATTGCCCTTCTAGTGTGGTGAGTCGCCCGTGAGTCGGTGAGACACGTGGCGGTCGGCACTCGCGCACGTGTGAGCTTGAGTCGTCTTGTTGAGGCACCAGAGTTGATGAGCAGTCTATTTTACAGTTTAAATGAGAAGTCTAAGCAGCGTGAGCACTGCGGTGTACACGATTAACCAAAGTCACTAATCGAAACGTATAGAGCACACGTTATGCGTCTAGTCACCGCGCGGCCATTTGCACAATTGCCTCGATCGCGAGGAAGACGGTGGCGATGAGCGCGCCCGTGCGGGCGCAAACTGCCGCGGTGATCGAGCGTCGTTACTCGATCGATGCTGCCATCTGATCGGACGGCGCAACGTTAAGGGAATCTCGAACACTTTCTCATAGTTTTTAAGTGTGCAAGTAGAAACTTGTTTAAGTGAGCAAGTAATAGAAACTTGTGCATTGCTTTCTTATAGTTTTTAAGTGTGCAGGTAGAAACCTGTACATTGCTTTCTCTATAAGGAAGCCAAATTAATAAATATCTACTAATAATTATGCATAAAAAAACAGGCTTCCTTATAGAGGAAGCAATGTACAGGTTTCTACTTGCACACTTAAAAATTATAAGAAAGCAATGTGCAAGTTTCTACTTGCTTATTTAAACAAGTTTCTACTTGCACACTTAAAAACTATGAGAAAGCAATGTACAAGTTTCCACTTTCACACTTAAAAACTATAAGAAAGCAATGTACAAGTTTCCACTTGCACACTTAAAAACTATGAGGAAGCAATGTACAAGTTTCTACTTGCACATTTAAAAACTATGAGAAAGCAATGTGCAAGTTTCTATTGCACACTTAAAAACTATGAGGAAGCAATGTGCAAGTTTCTACTTGCACACTTTTTTTTTTAAGGAATAGAGTATCATTAAAGATAGATTAGTGTTGTATTTGGCTTGATATCTCAAAATTTGCGGAAATTAGAGCAATCACGTAGATTTTTTTTAAACAGAAATCGATAACCTCTTTATTATTAGCAATTTTTATTAATTCTATTATATTCTTCAATTTTTTCTACCCCTATTTTATATATAATTCTTTAAAATTTAATTAATCAGTTCTTCAGTTATAGAAATTTCAGTAAACTTGGCTGTTTTTTTAACAGAAATTGGTAACTAATCAACCAAATCCAGAACTAATCTTAACGAATTATATATGAAATAGGGGTAGAAAAGACTGAAGAATATAATAGAATTAATAAAAATTGTTAATAATAAAGGAGTTACCGATTTCTGTTAAAAAAAAAACAGCCAAGTTTACTGAAATTTCTATAACTCAAGAACTAATTAATTAAATTTTAAAGAATTATATATGAAATAGGGGTAGAAAAAACTGAAAAATATAATAGAATTAGAAATAGATCGATATCTCAAATATTGAGAAAGCTATAGCGTAAAACACGCTTTTCTGAAAAATGAAAATCTCCTTAAAATTCATACCGGTCAACCGATTTTAGTAAAATTGGAGGAGAACATATTTTCTATGATACTCTATTTGTGTGCAAAACTTTAATCCGGTATCTAAAAAATTGTAAAAGTAGATACGTGTACAAAAAATCCGTACACACACACACACACACACACACACACACACACACACACACACACA